AACCCTAAAGCGGTAACGTTCATTAATTTTATCGTTTGAAATCAAAAGTGCATTGCTGTAAGATTGATTCGTCTGTTGGGGCATCCTCACTGAGAACTCTCTGTTCAAAGGTAATTCTTCTGGTATGATGATTTCTTGGTTATTAGGAAGATGACTTACCTGCCGTGATACAGCGCCAATGGTACTATGCAATTCATTATCATGATGACTGATGTTGCTTGACAAATTGCTCATATTATGATTCTTTTGAAGGGAGATTGTTCCCCGTATAGAGCTACAGTTTCTTTTCATGTTCTTTTTTTTGCTTCAAAATATGTGGTCTACTTAGTCTCTTAATGGTATTTGGTGGGGCAAAATGATTGTTTGGCGTTGTAATTTTATGTAAAGATTTTTGGGGGTATATCTAAAAACCCCAGTTCTAACGCGACGAATAAGAAAAGGACAATTTGCCATTTAGTTACATCGCTAAAGTGATGATGATGGACAGTGAACCGCCAACAGAATAGTGTGCTCCCACCATGGTAAGCCAATCCTTAAAAAAAAAAGGAAGCCCTTCTGGGATTTACTGGGAGAGAACCGAAAGGGGATGACAACAACAAAGTTAAATCCTTCCCATAACAAATCATTAAAACTTTATCTGGCGCATGTTACATAATCTTCATTCATTCGGCCCACACGCAAAGTCCATACAAAAAGCTGCAGGAACTTATGTATCAAGCGTACCCCTTATGCGTAGCTCCCGTCGTATCCCACCTTCTGCAAAAGGATATTCATTAGACCGAAATATGCACACCGCCTTATTTTACACTCTTGATCCTTTCTTTGATTTCATGGTTCCTTTGGATTCCCTGTTAGTTTGTCACCGCACCAACCCTTGGCAGAATCGATAAAAGTAATCATCAGAATAAAATCGACCAAGTGAAGCATAGTCAAGAGAAGCAACAACAACAGCAGAAATGCATACATGCGAAAATTATTATTACTGTGAATAATAAAAGGACAAAAACCTATAATATATATAGGTATATATGCATTTCTACATGTTTACGGGTTACTTAGGTTATTCTTTCATTCTTATTACCTCTACTCATGGGTTTACAGTGAGCTCTCTTTCGTTAAAGTTAAAAGTTTCATAGCTGTCTCCTTAGAGAGCACGCATCATTTGACGAAATGTGAAGACCTCAAAAAAAAACTTCTCATACGATTCAGAGGCGTTGGTGAGGAGCGATAACGCCTCTCGGATCGCTGGATGCTTATGCTTCGGGTACCCCTCCACGAAGTTCTCAATAAATGCATACCAAAAAGGCGGGTGAGTTTCGAGAATCGGGTAAATCACCGAGCAGCACCCGCTCAGCGCGCGGTCCTGGCAGACGATAATCCCCATCGCGGCGGCCAAAAGCCGCTGCCAAAGATCCCCCATCGGCGCGATCAACCGCGCGATCGCCTCCCGGGCGGCCCGGGCCGTCCGCGAAACGCGTGGCCCCC